TCGATTTGGAAATACTGCCTTAAATTTGTTTAAGTCAGCTTGTGTATTCCATGAATCGAGGAAGAGAAGAAATTTTCTACAAACCAAAGGATGTAAAACTTCATTTAAAAAAGCACAATGATTCTCATCAGTGCTTTTTTCAGATTTTGATGCTTGTAGTACGACATTTGGTGATAAAAATAGATCTTTCTATATTCTTCTACCGAACTCATTTTCCTTCTCGTGAAGAATGAGAAAGTACTTTTCTAATAAACAACCAGCAGCTGATGCTACAGGTTGTAATGTATACGTGTGAGTTATGTTGTATTTTTTTTTTGGGTGTGGATGTGGATGTGAATGAATAACAGATCTACACCCACACCCTTTTATTTTTAAATCTATTTTTTTGTATTTTATTTTTAATTTAATTTTTTTACATCTGATTTTTAAATTGCGTTTTTAAAATGTTAAATGAATGTTTTTTTCATTGATTATTCTACGTTCGTTTTGTAAATAAGTTTTTCGTTTTTGCTATGTAAGATGTTTTTTTTTTGTTTGCTTATATTTTTTTAAGTGAAATAAACTAATTTAATTGAAAGATAATTTTAAAATTCAAAACAAATTTACAATATGACAAAAATATATAATAGTTTTCACAATGTATTGCTGATAAAAATTATGATGATTTAGCTCCAGGTATTGAAATTTATCAAAAATTTCTATCTAGTTCAGCTTCTCAAATCAAATCTGAATTTAGGTTATGGAAAAAAAAGATCGGCAGAAATTGTTACAAAAAGTAATTCCAATACATTGTAACCTTCTTCAACTAGCAATATAACTACAATCAAAATGGAACGTAAAGAACAGATCTTTTTACCAGATACAATGATTGATGCCTATGCTCCTTGTCCTGAAGTGTTTTACCCAAACATGAAAGTTTTATTGAAAATCTGTACAACTCTGCCAATGACAACAGTAACTACAGAAAAAACATTCTCTGTCCTCAAATTACTGAAGACTTATTTACGTTCAACCATGTCGGAACAAGACTTAATGGATTAGCTATGATGTATATTTATCGAGATTTAGATGCAAATACTGATGCTAGAATTGATGAATTTGGAAAATCTAATCGTCGATTGGTGTTTTAGATTTTACTGCTAAAATTTCTCTCAAAAAAAAAAGTTTGTTTTTTCTCATGAATTGATAGATTTACTCTATAAAAGCTGTTAGTGCAATCCCTTGTGGGATTAAAAATGTGAAACACGATGTCGTTGCTATAGCTCCAATCATATGTTAGTTATGCATCATTTCTGATATTTCCTTGAAGTCTTCTATCACAGTCTATAATGACCCCTGGGCTCTGTCTGTCACGATCTGTGATGGGCCCAAAGCCTGTCTGTAGGGGGGACGGGGGATCCAAATTTCAGCCCCTTAGCATTTCAACACTCCTTTCAGATCGTGTTTCACAAAACGGAAATAAAGAATTGTAAGAAAATGAGAACCCTACTTTATCTATTTCCATAAAAATTCATACTACCTCGAGTGATATAATTTAGAAACCGCCACCCCTCTCTAAAATCTCGGAACCACCTCTGAGGCAACCCTATAAAAACAAATTACAATTAATATTGAGCGTCGATCATATGGTTGTGATCAACATCTCAACCTCTATTATCTTGGACGATCTTTATTCAATTAGACGAACCAAAAAATTATTCTATCCAGAGTTAACCTCGAATTGCTACGAGACAAAAGTTTTCATGAATGAAGAACACCAAAAAAAATCTTCGAGATCATTTTATTTCTTATTGTTTTCCTGATTAATAATACCGTAAATTGCATTTAGCATCGAACGCAAACTTTTTTCTAATATATTTTCCCATTTTGTATAGAACCAAAAGCTACGTAACCTACGAAAAATTCAACACTTTTTAGTTCATGTTAGGTCGATAAATATATAATATACAATTTCTTGAATAGCTCATTTTTCTTAACTTTAGCTATTCTATCTTTTGTTATATTGCATGAAAAAATTCTCTGATTTCTTAAATTATAATCTCTGTAGTAGACTGATTGTGTTGAACAGTTAGTGTAAGCGAAATTTTTTTGTAGAATATCCAAATAAGCTCAAAGTTTGGATATATGATGATATTAGATAATGCTCAATCTAATGTGTATAAAAATCAAAATTAAAATTTTGACTAATATCTCGAATATTGGAATCATCTTTGCGATGTTCTTATGTGGAAATTTTCTTAATAGTCTATGATAAAGTATTTTTCTTTTGTCGAAAAATGTTAAATTTATTTGATTATTTTAAAAAATGAAAATATATCAAATTCTTTTCATATTAACAAGTTTATATTCGAATACTAAAATTTAGTTAAAGTATTTTTTTATAAAATATGATTAACCTTATGGGTTATGCAGTTTTCCTTATTTTATGTGTACAAATAACAAGGGCAGAGTACGATTTAAATGTGCACTCGCATAAATCGTTCTCGTCGTCCTTTCACTCTTCAACTGACAAATCATCTCTCCTAACAAACCATGCGACCTTTTCCTTTGAAAGAATGGAAGAAAAAAAAAGCAGGAATACATGCTTTCTTTTTGTTTCTTAGCACAGAAAATAATAATACTCATCGACCTAATATTTGTTCCAAATTTTTCATCTGTTTTTCTGTCATATATTACGGAACACATGTTAGATAATCGTAAGATCAAGGTCAATAACTTGCTTCATTTACTTGAAAGAAACAGCAACTGACAAACAATATAGAGATCAAAAGAAACAAAAAAAGAGTAGTCACAAGTTCAAAGAGGACATTCATATCTATGTGTGATATCTCATGAGAAAAGTGAAAGAACAAAAAGAAAAGAAAAACAACATATAATAATAATGTACGGCACTATATTATATTTTCATAGCAAACAATTTTCATTCGATCTTATTTATTCGATATTATTGCACTTGATCTGTAACTCAATAGCGGTCCAAATAGGATAATAAGAACTGCCATTCAGCAAAAAATAGAATGATGATAGTTAATATAGTATCTTAGTTTTTTTTTAAAGATAACAGATGATCTGTATTTTGTTCATAGTTTTGAACCTGTGATTGAGTATATTTCAACCTTTTTTTTGTTTTATTTTTGGATTAGTTTATGATCTAGTGAATAAGCTGAATAAAAACATCTTCATTCGATCAATTTTGGTCTCTGACATAGATGAGTTTGAAAATCATTTTAATAATTGATCTGATACAGTTTTGAACGCAGGAAAATGAGTCGAAATCGAATTCCAAGTTTTGAACAAACATTCGAATAAAAATAACCAGAAAAGATAATAAAAAAGCTCATTATTGACAATGCGATGCGATGCCGTCTATGCATCAGAAAAAGACTAGCTGCTACTAAGATATTCTCTTTTCCAGCTCTATCGAAATGTATGTAAATATTTTTGGACGTGTCCAAATTAGTAGAGAAATCAAGCATATACTTAGGTCAGTCCGAAAGTAGTGACGGAGGTATATCAATTCCTTATAGAAAGCTCTGAGAAACTTTTTTTCTATCCAGTCCGATAGAGAAAAGAAAGTTCTATTTTTCTATGCCGCTTGATCATACTTTAACTAATGTCAAGATAATAAATTTTTGATAAGACTTTTTTTCGTTAACATTTTGTTCGTTGTAAATGGTACATCGCAGTTTCCAATTCCTTATTAGCTTTATTAGCAACCAAAATATGCCATAAAATGCAGCGTGAAAAACTCTACAATTTCCATAAGACCACTTATTTTCTAGTTGCACTTTTTGTTTTCAAAATGGACAAAGTTTTGAATGATTGAACTTTGGCCGTTGTAAAAACTGATCGTGTAGAATTTTTCTTTTTGTCAAAACAATTACAGTATGCTTCACTAGGTAAATTGTAGAGCTTTTCACGCTGCATCATCTGGTGTTTTTTGTTTTTCTTTCGATAAAGCATATCAGGTGATAAAATGATCAGATAACAAAAAATGAATTTGTCATGTATCAAAAACATTATCTTGTTTCATGGTCGAAATTTTATCACTCAAAATTTGGTCTATTTTAAGAACAAAAAGTACAACTAGAAAATGAGTGGTCTTGTGGAAATTGTAGAGCTTTTCACGCTGCATCTTATGGAATACTTTGGTTATTAATACAACCAATAAGGAATTGAAAAAGAAACAACAATATGCGACTTAGTTTTGTATTCCATGAACCTATATAATGAAGGTTGAACATATGTACATTTTTATAGAGTTATATTATTTGTATCAAATGAGATATTATGAAGGAAATGATTAAACGCTAAGATTAATGAAAGAAAACATTGTTTTTTAAAAGGTTAGCTGAAGGTTTGCTCAGTATTTGTTTCATAAATTTTCAGAGACAAGTTAGAAAAGATTGGAAATTTCGATGGAGAAATTTTTGATGATACTTCTTCTTTTGCGGTACAAAAACCAATATAAAGAACAACATTTTCGAGAGTATGACCATGTCTAAAGATATTCGACAATTCTCATCAACTGTCTCATAAGTATATGACTTTCAATAATCTATACTTTTATAAGTTTAAAAGAACTACTATAATTAGAAATGACGACTTTTAGAAAAAAAAGATTGTTCTACGTATATAGATTATTATTCTAGAAATACAAAGTCGAAATAGAAAAAAAAGAATGAACAACTATCCTCATTTATGTCTTTTATTATTATAATAAAAATACATCGACCTGAATGACCTCTCTTATAAAAACAAATCAAATATGAGAGAAATTTCGTCGTTAAAAAAAATATTCTTTTTCTCTTCTATTTCTATTCCTTCTTTCTTGCTTCGTTCTTTCTATTACGACTGAAGAAAATGTTTATTAATGTAAATCACTTTAACAATTGCGTACTATCGTTCCTATATAAGACACACCTTCGACGTTATTTGGCAGACAAAACTTTCAAACAAATTACAAGCAATTATTTTCTATTGTGAATAAAACATTTAAAATGTCATCATCAAATCAACAATCATATTCTAATCGTAATCAAGACCAATATCAAAGTGCTTCACAACAAATGGGAGGTGCTGATTGTAATCGTCAAGCAGCTAATCAAGGACTAAATGATGCTCGCTTGTCAAACCAAACTGATCAAATTCAACAAAATTCGCATCGTGGTTTAGGTAAATTCATCATTTTATTTATAGAACAGAATATTATATAATCTATTTTATTTTGTTTATTCAAGATTCAAACAACCAAGGATGGTCACAACAACAATACCAACAACAAAGTGGTTCACGTGGTGCTGGCACCTACCAACAACAAAGTGGTTCAAATGCTGCTGGCAGCTACCAACAACGTCAATAAACATTATTGGCAAACGTACAGTCCAATGAACTTTCTCTATTGTTTTATTTCAGCATGCAATTTTTTGTAGTATTTTTTTGTGTGTTAATGCAGCTTCAAGTTTGATTACACTGAATAAAAAAGTGTATATATCAATTGTTCTTTTCTTCTATCGAAACTAAGCAGAGAATAATACGCAAGATTTTATTTCAATGTTATCGTTCTGAACAAAGATAAGAAAAATAATGATATCTGAAATAATATATAAGAAAGCTACAAGTAGCTGTTTTTCCTCAATGATGAAATTTACTCATTAAATAATTCTTATGAAAATAAATATTTATCAAGACACAATAAATAAGTCTAATGATATTAAGTTGCTTTTAATGTATACTTATATAAATACATTGATAATAGATCATGAAATTACAGAAGAAACAATTATCACCTCTCTGGAGATGGAGTCGGACTAGAAGTCAAATAATTCAATACAAAAAAAATATAAAACTCACGATATGTTAGAAGATTCTTCTTGAAAAATAAGAGACTATTTGAGATTTTATAGAAAATTACATTTATGTTCGATAAGAAGAAAACATTCTTTTCGTCATTCTTCGTGGTGTAAATCAAACAAACAAAACATTCAAGAGAATGAATGATAGCACTATTGATGGTCACAATAAAAAAAAATAATGTGAATATGACTGTTAGATGGAACAGATTATAAATCTAATTTAATTTTATCTCCCAGATTTGTATCAAGATCGAAGGACTTACACAACTACTATACTGTTAAAGTATATTACAACAATGAAGAGAAATATTGTTTCTTGTGGACAAGAACTCAGTATTACGTATATAATGAAAAGGAATGAATGATTGAGATACAATCATTTGAAAGACTGACAACTTGATGTGTTACTGGAGCGATGCTCATTGTTTTCCAGACTGATATGAAGTCTGTGAGTGTGTATCTTTAGGGCATGGTAGATGTGAACATGGGTGTCAATGCATGAGTGGAGTGAAGATGCACGCCTACATCTACACCCTGATCTACATGCAAAATATCAATTGCATTTTTGTATACCAAAAAATTCAACTTAGAATCTAGTTATTGTGTCAAGAAAGATAGTTTTTAAGGATTAAAATGTGATAGATATTGTCATCATTTTTAATTAGATTAACTGATATGACATTTATTCCAATACAACATTGAATATCTCGAAAAACTTACTTGAACTCAGGGAATATACATTTCCAGAAAAATATGATAATAAATATAGACTATCAAAATAGATAAGATCGGTTGTTCTTTTTGAGAATAATAGTTCAGAAGCCAGCTTTATATACTTAATCACTTATAGATAGAGACATTTACATAAGTATTTACCAATCTCTATATCATTGGTAAGCTACAAGAATTACAAAATTTGAGCAATTTTTTTTCAGAGTGTATTACATATCATGTGATAGAGCTCTTCGAACTGATTAGAAATCTGTGACTTTTCATTTTTCATCGTACTTCTTTTATATTGAAAAGTTGAAGAAACTCGAAAGAACAACTCTTATCAAAAGACCAGAAATGATTCATTTTAATTTACAAAATATGTTCGTCTCTTCACTGATTACTTCATTTAAATCATTAGATCAGATAAAATCTGAATTCAATCAGACGAAGTCAGTTGTCAAGCGAAGTTATTCTATAGATTGGTGGAGATATAAGCGAGGACTTCCAATTTCTATTCAGATGGAAGATGATGCGAACAAGTCATCTTTTCTTTGTCCACTGAGTTACTAGAGAGATGAATATCAACATCAAAATCAGCGTAGTAGCCTTACACTTCAAATACAAATGATATCGGATTGGAGTAATATTCTTCCTGGTATCATTACTCTAATCACTTATTCGACACTGTGATACTAAATTCAATATCCATTTAACTTGTTTAACTATTTAATTTGAAAAAATTCATTACAAATTATTCAGAGAAAAAGAGATTTCATTATTACAATGTATTTATGTTTGATTTGAGTGAAATATTCAAGACCCAACATGATATCAATGACATATGGATAGAGACATTTTCTATCGGAGCTAATGAGAAGCTGACAGAAAGTAATCGATACGTTACTAATCAACATCTCCAGAGAACTTTAAAGACTAGTTGTTCTCAGCCATAGTTGTGAATATGATAGATGTCAATTATAGCCATGATTTCTTATAATTACAATTTGTCTTCAAGGATGAAATTTCACGTCTTGAAAATTGTCAGTTTGGGTATGACTTCAAATTTCGTTGTTTCATCTGTGTTTAGAGAATGCAAATAAAGCGAAATAGTAAACATGATTTTTATAGAATTTGTAAACCATTTCTTGTATGAAAAGTGAAACTTAAAATGTTGCTCGAATTGTAAGTTATCGATATCTTGAGAGTAGAATGTTCATTTGTATTAACGATCCCCTACTATCTGTTTTATAGTTATGATCAATGTGATATGTCAATTCAATCCTATGGGATATCTGCTGGATGATTCTATGTACAAGAGACAATATAATCATCGATTTAGTTTATGATTCTACCAATATTTGTGATTTTCAAATAATAAAAACGTTCTGGCTTCGAAGATTCTCTTGAATTTATATTATCTTACCTGTTCACATCAATACTCAATGTTGAAATTCATTACCACAATATCATCATTAGCGCGAACATCACGTTTCTGGTTGATAGATGACGTAAAAAGATTTCTTGAAGTCTATCCGAATCCATTGCTGGCAGAACCTTGCACGCATGTTCGAACTAATATTCTTTTGGTGACGTTTGACTATTCAAACTAATACAAGTATCGGTAGTGCATTAATCAGAGCTTCGTTGAAGAAAAAGTATGCCCATAGGCAATAATCTAAATCAATGTTGAGCTACAATATTTTCTCTTTCCGCTTGAAAAAAACACAATGCGTTGAATAATCATCAGTGTATACAAAAATGATGGCCGTTAGATAAATATCAGCGACCCGATCAATAAATACTACGAATATCTAGAGTAAACTTCAATAGTCTCTAATAGGTATCATTGCTTGTTCTGTATGGTTCGAAAGCAAAGAATAAATTTGTCTTTCATCAGAATATTTGTCAACTCAGAGTAATGGTTACTATCGTCCTATTGCATTACAGTATGCTTTAAAATAAGAGCATGTGTAGTTGTCGTTCGTTGTGTGAAAACTATTAAGCGGTTATCGATGTTCTCGCTACATATACGACTATCGTGCATGATTTTATATTCTTCTCGCGCATGAAAACGATAGACGACAAGGATAACCATTGGTTCTCTTCTGTAATTGAACACACTTGATCACGGAATTCGAATGTTTATCTAAAAGAAGGTGAGTTTATTTTTTGAATTAGTTTAAGAAATAAAATCTTTAAAACTTTTAGAAAAAAAATTTTACCTTTATTATAAGAACGTGATGACTGTCTGCATTGTGAAAAAACTGCAGAATAATCAACCGTTAAATTTAAAAAAATTCTTCATAAACTCTTGAAGGGTTTATAACAATAAGGGTATATGAGCTATACTTAATGATTTATTATTATACGCATAACGATAGATTATTCTACGTTACCATTAGAATGATTTATCATTCCTAATACAAAAGTATATTATTGTCTGCTTTCGTTCAAAGCGTTTATTATTCTACACATACACTGAAAAAACAGGTATATTACGGAACTTATGGAGTTTCGGGGAACTTTGTTATACTTTATTAGGTATCGTACAAATCGAGGAAACTTTAGTAAGGTCTCGGAATCTAATAGATTTCGTATAAAACCATCACAAGTTTGCCTAGCCGAAAAGGCTTCGCAGTCAAAAGGTTTTGCACTAGACTAATCTATTTTCTTGTCCCATCTATAATACAAACAAATGTCTGGTCTGTCTTCATTCTTCTGTTAATCCATTCACGGTCACTCTACAATCGATTTTGAAAAATGTATTACTGCGTTTAGACTTCGTACTCTTCTGTACAGTGTTTATTGCTGAGCTAATAGAAGATGCTTCACTTGTGCAACAATCACATCTTCTTCTTCGCTGAATCTTTGAATGGTTTGAAATTTCTCGAAAGAAACAGAAGTCGTGATGAATCATATTTTAACGCAACTTAATTAACGTAAACCTTAAGTAGTTTTACCTAAAATTAATGTTAATAAAAATACAGACGGCAAGCATCACTTGATTCGTTAATATTAACAGTTAATGGGTCACGTAACTGTTACTATCGCCCTCTTCTCATAATTGATTTTGGATCAAGTATATTTAAATAGCATAAAATTTTTAAGATATGTTGAGACTGTAATAAAGAGAATATACTAAAAATTTTCAGTCCTATACCATGAGGTTTGCGGGATATGTATCAAACAAGAGTCAAAAATATGTCATTTGGTCTCCTAAAATTCTTTATATTCAATTTATTTATTTATTTTGAAAAAGTATATAAGAATGCAGCGCCTGTCTGCATCCCTTTTTTAAATTTTGACTTTTTTTCTAGAAGGAAAGGATTACAATTCGATACCCCAAAAACGCTTTAAAAGTCTCGAACTTGTGAGAAGCTTTTTGGAAAACGAATTGTTATTCTTTTCCTTCTCTGAAAAAACAGAATTTAAAAACAGGACTTCGAACGGCACTGCATTTTAATATGCGCTTTGAGACAAAAACCTCATGGCATAGTGCTGGGGAATATTAGCATAGTCTCTCCATCACAACCCAAACATATCGTAAAAATTTCATGATATTTCAATGTATTTAATGCCAAATCGATTTTGAGTTCAAATGGCCTTAATACTGTGTTAAAATAGTTTCTGGTGATGCATAATTTATTTGAAGTTAAGAGAATAATTGGTTCATGAGAGGATAATACTGTTCCATTCAATTTTTCTCCGCCAGGAAGGTCTATTTGGTGAAAATAACGATTTTATCAATAAAACTTGGCTAGATGCTTTCGGAACCGAGAAATTCGAATCTCTA